AATATAGGCAGCCTTTTGAAAATCTTTTGAGATGAACATTTCAGATTTTCTGTCGTGTACAGAGGACGCCTGCTGGTTTTAGTAAAACTGGCCTGGCAAACTGTGCTAATTTGTTAAACAAGAGTTTAAAAATAATTTCTAAACTTTTTAAAATCCAGATTCCAACAGTCTTGAAAAATACAGAATTTGTTCAACCTTTTTCATATGTCAAGATAAGATTGAAAAAAGAATGTGGTATCCTTTCATTTTTCTTCCCATTGTTTCTGTAAATTTCTAAGAATAAGTTGCTCTAACCCATGTTTTTTCTCCCCTGCCCTCATGTTTTTAAATAAAAGATCACATTGTAGTGTCACACTTATGTACCTGAATTTTGATTGGTCCGTTCATGATTCTATTCATCCTTCAAATTGTCTGTCCATGCATTTGTACAGCCAGGTTTTAATTTAAAGTGTGTTATTTCGCCTGGGCACTCTCTAAACGTAAGTGGGAAAAGTATTGAAATTTGACTTGGTGAGAGAATGTGTCAGAATCCGTACAATAAGTAATAAAAGCCCGCTTACGGTGCCCAGAAGTGGAAAGTTTTTCACTGCTTCTAATAAACAGAATTGTATACTGCTAAGACTAAAGCATAAATCTCACACACCTGTCAGAAAATGCATAAATATTATATGTGAAATGAAATTAAACGTTGTCTCCTCTGCTTTCTCTCAGCCCGGGGCCAGCCTGGAGCAGACCCACATTTTTGTTCTCGCACATATTCTTCGAAGACCCATCATAGTCTACGGAGTAAAATACTACAAAAGTTTCCGTGGGGAAACGTTGGGATACACTCGTTTTCAAGGTGAAGAGACTTCAAATCCCCGAGGAAACAGTCCAGATTTTAGTCGATGTGGTTCACTTACATTTTTCATTTTTGCTAATGCGTTTAATTTTTTCTTGTTGGTGGATTCTTCCGCGTCAGATAAAATAATGTTTTAAATGATTATTTTGCGAGGAAATTGCAAGTTGATATTTTTATGCAGTTATACCTCTGGTTTTCATATACAAACACATACAGCAGGAAGTGTTCTGATAGAAGTCGCAGCATAGAGTGTGAGTTTGCTTCAGACGCTGTGCTCTGCTAACAATCCTCTTTTTGTTTCGAGTCAGCTGAAAAGCTTCTGATGTCAGATCTGAGCTGGTGCTTTGTCCCTCCTGACTCTCACACACAGTTTAAAAATAAAGTGTACAGGAGGACAGCCTGTTTGTTGCAGGGGCCTGCAGGATCGCCAGGTTCGCCCTGTCCCAGCTTGTTGAATTTGTTTCCATGTCCCCAGGTGTGTACCTTCCTCTGTTATGGGAGCAGAGCTTCTGCTGGAAGAGCCCCATTGCCCTGGGTTACACGCGGGGACACTTCTCTGCCCTGGTGGCCATGGAGAACGACGGTTACGACAATCGTGGTGCAGGCGCCAACCTCAATACCGACGACGACGTCACGGTCACCTTTTTGCCGCTAGTGGACAGCGAGAGGAAGCTGCTGCACATTCACTTCCTGTCCGCTCAGGAGGTGGGCACCGACATTACTCCTGGAGCTGCAAATTTTCTACATTTTCTCTCTCTAAGCTTGGCAATTTATATACTTTTTAAAAAAAATCAAAAATAGAGTTGTGGTCAGAATTTTTTTTCATGGCCATAAACAAGCTTCTGATGAAAAATGTTTACTTTCTTATTTATTTATTTATTTATAAAGGTTCTGTTGGCTCTAGTGGCTTTTATTTGAAAGTAGTTTCATAAGAAACAGGGTAATGATGAAGGGGGAAGACATGTGGCAAATGTCGCCATGGCGGGAATAGAACCTGCGACAACCGTCTTTTGGACTAATATGAGGATTGTGCTTTCCCCCTGTGCCACGACAGCTCCCTCAGGTTTACCATTTCTAAGATTAATAAAGCTAATTCATTACAGTTTTCCTTCTTTTCATTCTCAAAGCTTAGCTCGTCTAACAGAAGGAAGTAAACTTGACTCTTATTCACACATCATCATCTGATCGCTACCAGGAAGTGTTAGCGATCAGATAAATGTCTTTCACTCTTGCTTTAGAAATTTGCTGCTTCTTTAAAATGTATCGTAGAAACACGTATAACCAAAACAACGTTGGTTGTGTTGGTGGTTGTTCAACCGACGCAAGTTTGTTTTGAGAAAATATTTTGTGCTTGAATGAAATGAAATGGTTAAAGAAGTGTTGGAGGAAAAAAACCACATGATTCCAGTTTGTTTCAGCGCACAGTTTCACCTTTAAAAAGTTTTCTCAAAAGTCTTTACAAGTGTTTTGACGTGCCTTGCTTGCAAGCAGATGGGGAACGAGGAGCAGCAAGAGAAACTGCTGAGGGAGTGGCTGGACTGCTGCGTCACGGACGGAGGTCTCCTCGTTGCAATGCAGAAGAGCTCCCGCCGCCGTAACCACCCCCTGGTCACCCAGATGGTGGAGAAGTGGCTGGACAGATACCGCCAGATCCACCCCTGCACCTCGCTCTCTGACGGCGAGGAGGACGACGATGAAGACGAGTGAGGACAGTTGGAACTTGTGCTTCTTTGAAATGGACATTGTAGGCTCTGGGTGAGAGTACTGGGCTCTCCAACTTTTGTTTTTTTGTCCCCTCTCCCAAAATGTAAACCCTTTCCCTGTTATTATGCATGATTTCCGTGAGCTCTATTGCAGAGAATGCATCTCTCTTCCCATTTAAGCACATAAATGCTTCTTAGTTCAAATACCAAGGCTCACATTTCCCCCCCGCTTGTTACCTAGTATTCTAAGAGAGCTAAAAAAATAATAATTAAAAAAAATATATATATGTCTGAAGATTGTACCGTATTCCCCAAGCTGTGATAGATTAGGATTTTCATCTGCACACTTGCCATGAAGAAATTTGTTAGGATGCCAGTTCCATTTGTTTCGTCAGTGGTTGAAGAACATGTTTCACTGAGTGCTTATCTTGCTGCAAAGCCCTTATCGATGCTGGATTTATTTATTTCAAAGGCCCGGCTTTTAGTTCTCCTCTTTCTGTTCCCCACTTTTCTTTTTCATTTTGACCTGAGTTTTATTTGATTCACCTTGTCTTGAAGTATTTTATTTTGCACAGTTAAATCCTACATTTTGTCAGGGGAAGTGGAGGGGGTGACATTCAAGTTTGCTGACATTTTTATTTGCGACTCGTATCTCATGTTTGTGTTTTGAAGAGTGAGGGGCGAAGACGCCGGCGGGAAAAAGAGAAAACCAAACACTCTGCCTCTTCTGTGGAGAGCATTAGTATTAAACTTAACTCACTTGCATCCACTTAACTTTTGACTTGATTTTTAATTTATTTCTGTTTTGATATGAGAATTAATCTGGTTGGAAATATTAAGGGATGTCAAATTAGATATAATCTTTTGGAATTCCGAGAAAAGAATCCAAATAATTCCTAATTCCAATAAATTTTATGGAATGGCTTTGGGGGGAGGAGATGGCCAAATTTCCCTTTAATGCTTTTTAAAAAGATCAACATCTATATTTTTACATAGATGTAAAAACATTAAATATTTTTCTTTCTATCCAGTACCATCCTAGCAGGCCTAGTGTGTCTTTAACAAAATAAAAATCTATTTTTTTTTTGTTAAAGAATAGTTTGTATGGATTTAGTAAAACCTCTTAATTGAAAAGCAAAAAAAAAAATTCAGACTGGAATCTTATTTTTATACACAAGAATATGAAGAGTATTGAAAGTGCCTCATAATTTTGGCTTTATTGTGACAATATTTAGAGTATGCAGACAAACAAGACCATTCTTATTGTCAGAACAGTCCCACAATTTGGAGATGACTTTCTGCGTTATTACAAATCATTAACCAGTAAATTACGGAGAAAAGATGGAATGCATTATGCATAATTACTGACAATATTTTCAACGATGCCATAAAATGTGCGGATACTTTCATATTCAGACCTCAAAGATTTGATTTTAAAAAGTAACAAATGTTTTGGGAATATTGTAGAAAGCAACTGTTAACTTTGTAGGAAAATGCGAAACCTGGTGGGTTTTATCCAAAGTGTTTTGATTTTAACCTGTAAGTTCAGAAAAAAAAATTGTGGACAGTATTAAATTAAATTCCTGCATGTGTTTTTTTTTTAACTATGGAGGAAAAAACTCTATTCTATATCTGTAATATATGAGATCAAATACATATTTTGGACAACCATAAATAGGAATGCACAGATATAAAAATCTGGGGAAATAATGGACGAGAACCGATATTTATCAATATTATATACATTCCCCTACCTTTTCAACACCTAAACAAACGCTGCAATATCATGTATTTTCTAAAGATTAAAAAAAAAAAAATTGAACTTGTAGGAAAAATCTAGACGGTACTCTGTAACTTCAGGGAAAATATTAGCTATATTATCAATAATTCCAGTTAGAGGATTGAGGGGAAAAGAACACAATCACTTTTCAAATTCTTTGAAAATGATGAATTAAAAAAAAAAAAAAAAAAACTTCCATGGGTTGTGGTATTTTCAGAAAATAACCTTCAAGTCTGAGGATATGTGGTCTGTAATAGTCTTGACCACATTTTATAGTATTATGGAAAAAAAAAACTCAGAATATTAGTGCTTACTTGCTTGGAAGTAACTTTCGTTTGTTAGAAAGTTTGAAGAATATACAGACTGCATTCCATATGAGGTCAAAACCACCGTAAGACATTTTCTTCTAACTTTTTGCATGTTACCTTCCAAAACGTTTCACATAAAAGCCTGTAAATTCAGAGGAAGTACAAACTATGATCTGTGATTTCAAACTTTATATTATTTAGCACATATTGTTTTCATGAGAAGTGAAAGTTTTTTAAGATGGAAGATGTGATGGTTCATTGTACTATTTTTAAAATACATTTATTTGATTTGATCCTGGAAGGCTTCCAGTCAAAACGTCTTTTGAAGTCGCACCTAAAGATCAGAATCAAGTCACACGACAACTGGCTCTCTGAATCATCTCTTTATTTGAACTGTACTGAATGCTAAATGTTCACCTTGTACAAGAAACAAATACAAATACTCACACTAAAAACAAAAACATACTGCTGGCTGCCTCTTCTGCTATTGTCGGGACTCTATTGAGTTTCAGCTATTGCTCTTACAGAGTACAGGACGACCCCCCCCTTCCCCAAAGAACCAGGCCTTGAATAGAACAAAGAAAACGTAAGGAGGGAGGAGAGAGAGGATGGATCACATAGGACTATGGTTATAGGAACATTTAACTAGGCAATACAAATCTAACAGGACTCCTCAAAACTCTTTAACACCAAAAACATATGATGCACCTTGTATAGAAAAATACCACAATGGAGAGGATGATGGAGGAGAACGTATTCAGACGAACCGGATTAGTCTCATCTTTCTTTTTCCTTTTTTACAACTCAAGTGATGAAAATTTAATGGGAAGGAAATCTGCAAAAAAGTGTTTTTCCTGAGTTAAGAACTGAAGTGTGCTTTAACCCTTTCCTGCCAGCAGTGAATTTACTCAGGAACCTGAATGATCATTGATGGTAGGTAGGTTGCAGGTCCCCTTTTTAAAAACCGAGGTAGCTGTACACCTCTATATATAACTTAAAACTCAACCCTCATATTGTTTACCTACCAAAAAGTGGACATCTCCAAAGTATAAAAGTGACCCCTAGCGGTGATGGTCATATTGCAGCTGTGAATTGCTGCCAGGAAAGGGTTGAAAATCACTATAGATTATTAGAACTGATGACAAATCTCATGTTTATTTGAATGATAAATAGATATATGTTGATAATAAAATCTTAATCATTCACACTAAAAAAGAAAACAAAATAAAATCTTTTCTGAGCCTTAGATGGGGGAGGGAAATCTAATCAACACGCACTTGTTACATAAAGGAGGTATTGGAAAGGTGTTTGGAGTTCAGGAGGGGGATGAATGAGGTCCAGTAGCACAGGATGGTCTTTTTTTTCTGTTCTTCTGAGAAGTGGGCCTATATTTTCCATTTGTATAGGGTAGGCAGAACAGAGTCTTATCAGGTAATCCTGGAGCACTAAAAGCACTGGACTCTGTGTCCACAATCATAGGCATGTCCCAAAGGTGGAGGAGAAAAAAAAAACCTCAAAAACATCATCAAAGAGTAAAGTCGGTACAGAACTCAAACAGACAGAGTAAAAACCGAAACTTTAAAAGTACAAATTCCCCGTAACACTTCCTTAGTTCCCATTTCCAGGCTGGTTCAACAGGCAGCCGCTTTGTGTCGTTTTTCACTGTCTCTTGGTCCCCAGGTTGGTCGGTTTACTTCGTGATCGGTTGGTTTTCTGAGCGTTGTCAGATGAGATGTTCGCTGCTCGGATCCCCTCTTCTGCTATTGCTCGGTGAGGTGCTCTCTCGTCTCGCCGTGTTTGGAGGGCTGGTTTGGTGATGGGGCCTGGGAAGGGTGTGTACCAGAGGGCAGAGTGTGGGCGATGGGGACCCCACCGGGCACCATGCCCTCTAACGCCCCCGGGAGGCCGCCTGGAGCCACTCCAACAACACCCGGCGGATATCTGGTGGTAGAGGATTCAAGGTTAAGTGCAGTATAAGCTAAAATATTGAATTTCAGCACACATCTAGAGACCCTACTGCCTCTTTCCCACCACAGAAACCTCTTCAGGAACTGATTCATGTGTTCGTATTAAAAGTTCCTACTTTTAAGAATTCAGCTTAAATGAGAGTTTGACTTTTAGAAGTACCAAAATCACATGAACTTATTAAAATCTTTAACTAAATAATTGGAAAATAATTTGTGAAGAAGTGCTAAGCTAAATACCCTATGCTATTTATTTAACAAATTTAAAAGTGCTAATCATTTGAGATGACTTATTCTGTTATCTGTCAATATTAAATGCAGTTTCAAGCTGAAAAAAGGGCAACAATAGGGACAACTTCTAAACAATCAGTTATATAATAATTTACCATTGCTATATTTATATCATCAATTTATATCTATATACTGTACAGAGTGAAAAGTACAGTTTCAAAATGGTGATGCCTTAGTAGCTGTTGTTTGCAGTACCTCATATGAAACATCGTTTTAAGTTTTACCTTTCACATAAAAGCACAACTTAATTTGTTCAGATTAGAGTTGCATAATCTTGCAACATTGATAATAGATGCACCACAGTTGGTCTTTATGTGACACTTTTTTTTTTTTAATTTAGACCTAATTACATAAACATTTTTATTACTTTTACTACCATCTTGTTTGGGAGTTACTACCATCTTGTTTGGGAGTCATGATTTTCCTCTTTTTAGTGAGCCTTAATCAAATTCTGATATTTGATAAGCCTCAAAGAAAAATAACTGAATTAACATAAAGTTGATTTTCATAAGCTATGTAAAACTCTTTGAAGGCATTCTAAAGTAAGTAAACATTTGTAGTTCCTGATTTGGCTCTGGGATATATTTGGAAGAAAGAGACACAAAGGGCTTTCTAGGAAGAAAAAAAAAATCCCAATAAAACCCATAAACCAGCAAAGAAGCTATCCCCAAACATACAAATAAAAAAAAAAAATACCCAGAAAGAGGAAACCACAGAAAATCTGTCCATCCATGAGATTGCATCAGAATTGCATCATGCTTACTGGGACACTCAAAACCCACATTCACTGCCATCCAGCTCTACTCTGAGTTCAGTCAAACGGGTGAGTTCTCGAGGGGTGGGGTGGTTTATAGAGGTAGGGGAGAGCACACATCAGGTGAGTTCAAGGTGAGTTCAAGGTGAGTTTAAGGTGAGAAGTTTCCATCCATGGTGTCTCATTTACCTGCTCCTGATCTAGGCATTAATTTTGTCTTGGGGGATGCCAGTTGCTACAGCCTGGAGAGTTTGGTTCACTTGGCTGCATGAAAGAAGGAGACGGAGGTGGACATGCTGAGATAAAAGAACCCAGAACTGAATATAATGGACACACAGGTAGAGAGTGTTTGGGGGCTCTGTGACACAGTATCTTGCTAAATAATTCATATCCCCTGAATTTTTTTTACATTTTGTTGCACCGCACCCACAAACTATGATGATTCTTATTGGGATTGGATGTGATGAATAAAAAAGTAGTGGATAATTACAAAGTAGAAGGAACATGATGTATAGTTTTCAAACTAACACATAAATATCTAAAGACACACCTTTTTGTTCAGCCTGCTTTAATCTGGCACCCTTGAAAACTAGTGTGACTAATTCTTTTGTCATTTGCAGCCAAGTAAGGAAGTCAGCAAATGTGGAAGAAGGAGATATAGAAAAGTGGGAGCATAACTCAAAAGATTTTGACGTGAAAACCCAAATTGTTCCCTGAACGCACCATCCCTACAGTGGCACATGGGGGTGGCAGCGTCATCCTGTGGGGAGGTATTTCTTCAGCAGGGAAAGGGAGGGCAAGCAGCACATTAACCATTTTAAAAACAGATTTTTCTTTTATTTTGTGTTTCTCTGTCAGATAAAATCCCAATAAGACCAGTAGAATTTGTGGCTGTAAAGTCAATGTAGAAATGATTCAAGGGTGTGAATACTTTTGTAAGGCACTGTATTGACGGTTTAATCACTCGTCAGCTGGGAAATATTAAATGAGCTCACTGTGAAGAAAATCACATAAAATGGTCTCCGTCCTTAAATGAAGGACTTTTAAAGACACATACAGCCCTCCAGAACTTTCCGCTCCTACCTGTAGGCAGCGCCGTTGAGCTCAGGGTGAACGCCTGGTTGCTCCATAACTCCCCAGGGGGCCGTGGTAACAAAAAACTCCTTGTTCACACAGTTTCGTAGACTATCGGGGATTCGTCCTACCAAATGAAACGGACACAGAGTAGAAGACGGATGAATCCAAAAAGATGGAACGACCCGCTAGATGGCGCTGACGAGCAAACGAGTTGCTTAAACATATGCAAATCAAGATGACGCGTCAGTCTGGATGTTGTTGTGAAATGCTGATGGAGCATAAGGACATACTGAGCCAGAGCTGACACCTGTTCCACGGGGATCTGTGAATGTTCTGCGTACCTGTGATGGCTCTTCGGATTTCAGTGGCAGCCGCCTCCCTCATTTCCAGAGAGGACTGCTCACTGTACCAGGCTGTGTGAGGCGTGCAGATCAGGTTTGGCGCGTCTTTCAGAGGGCCCTGTGCAAAACTGCAGCACACACACACACAGTTTCTATAAATTTTCCACAATTTTACGGTTTTATAGTTTCTAATTGCTGTTGTTTTTTTTTGTTTTTTTTTTTTATTGACAGCTTCTAACACTTTTAAATTCTCAATAAAAAGCCATTACATATTTTTTTTAAATGAGTGTTTTCCATAAATCAAACCTGATTTCCACTTTAACAATAGCTTAGCCGCTACATTTTGGCATTTGGAACAAACTCATTGCTAAAGAAACCGGATGTTCACAGAAAACATCCAAAAGCATAGCAATGGAAAACTTAAGCGAATCAGTCTATTAGAAAGTTTTAGAGCACTTCATGCTTCCTTCTGCTTGGAAGATTTCTACAGATGTTGATTTCATTTTTCTGACAAACTTGTCACCTGCCCACTTGAGTAGTTCTGGCAGTATGATAATGGCTGGTTGGCTAATAATGCCTGACCAAAACCTATAACGAATCTATTTTACTAAAATGACAAAATAGAAAATGGATGAATCAAATTTTTGTTGATGTTCAAAAATACTGAGATGCTCCTAATAAGCATCTAGAATCAGCAAGTCTCCTGTCTAATAGAAAGACAAAATCTCATCTTGTTTATATTCCTTCTCCTACTCTTCCTCTGTCCTCATAAGATTCCTGTGTGATCTGCTTGTGCAACGACTCGGCAGCAAATCAGAGCCGTGTCATGTGGGACAATTGGGACAAAGTTACGCTCCATCCCTTGTTGACATATTAGGTTAGTGGATCACTTTCAGCCCCGTGCAACAGCAGCCAGTCAGTTGGGCAGCCAGCCGGAAACACACAGCATCCAAAAACCTCCCATGATGCCCCTGATGCGTGAACGACTCATCAGCACCAGCTACCCTCTGAGATCTGAAACATGGATCTCTAAAAGGTGGGAGACTGGAGGACAAGAGTTAAGTGACTTCTTGGCTCACAGCTTAAAAGAAGGAAGGTCGATGTTTTTGCCAGCAGTTTTTAACCGTTTGAGCTCAAATTCAGAAACGGAAATCTGCAGTTAGCTTATGGCCAACTGAACCTTTATCTATTTAAATATGCTTAAAGCTAAAGCAATTATGCTTTCATTGTTGCCAGATTGAACAGTTCAATTACATAAAACAAAGGGTGGACAAAACAAATTCTACCAGAATTTTCAGACTTGCAAAACATTGTTTAAAATCACACAATTGGAGCATTGACCAACAATGACACCCTGTGTTTGAGAAGATTGGAAAGCAATCTGAAGTCTTAACAAATTTCAATCAGATAGGAACAAAACGTCGATACTGAAGAGATGCAGCAAATAGTTAGCCAGAAGTCAACATAGAAGAAATCTCTTGATCTTAAGGCTACAAAACTGGAGAATAAAAATCAGCGTTCTTCCTCTGGATCAGATAGGACTTAGAGCCATGTCTTTTGATGGCTAAATGGAGAGAATCTTGTAATTTCTTCACTTTATGTTGGATTTAAAACCACAGTGGGGAACAGTCTTCATAAAATTCTGTCAAAGCAATTCCTCCACAACTCTCTGATTGACCCTTTTAGATGAAGATCGGGTGTTTCAACTCAATGCCTCTTTCCCAACTGGCTGAACTTCCTTTTGTACATCCGGTTCAGTCTGAGCGACTTACGCGAAGGGCTCAGTTTCATGGACGTCCAGGGCGGCTCCCCGTATCCTGCCCTCCTTCAGCGCCTGAGCCAGAGCTTTCTCGTCCACCAGGCCTCCCCGCGCGGTGTTGACCAGAAACGCGCCCTGACGCATCTGTGACACAGACAAAAAAATAAACAAACGGTCTTTAATTATTAGGCTCTGCTTGTTTTCACACACACACACACACATTTCCATTTCCATTTTAGCATCTGAGAAGAACCGTCGACATTTTTAGACGCATTAGTGAAGAAAAAGTGTTGCTTCATTGCAGCACTTAAAGAAGCAACTGAGAGTCATGAGCTTTGTAGAAATGTGTATTTAACTGGGTTAGGCTGTTACTCCCACTCTTACTTATCTCTTCATGCATTCTGAACATCTCAACGAGGAGACTGGAACGCTGAGGAGGAAAGTGCAGATGCAGTTCCTCAGCTTCCCTGCAGATGTCGCCTCAGACGGCGAGTCGGAGAGCAGCTCTGTCCCTCCGCCTCCCGCTGTGCAGCCAGTCAATATATTTGTTATAGCCGTGGGCTGGTGCTAATTGCATTTGACAGAGCAAAGGAATGAATTTGTGTCCAGCTTTAGTGGAGCTTCAGATAAAAAGCTGGTTCTTTTTTTTTTTTTTTTTTGTCTTCACCCCTCTTCACTTTTTGCTTTCTTTAGGTTGGGACATCCCACAGGCTGGAAGTGTGATAAACCTACAGCTCATCAGTGCCCACTTACCAGAAATCACTCTAGGCAGGTTCAGGGTACTGATCACATCAGATTTAATTTCTATCCTCTGAGGTTTTTTTTGTACTGTCCATGTATGACCTTTTAGGTCTAGTCACAGCTACCTCCAAAACGTCCATGACTTTATAGTTTTAAAGTTTCATCCTAAGAGAAAAAACTTGAATGCCTGTCAACGTGCAGTGACATGAAAGTATTTTTTTTCTTTTTTTGCTTTCTTGACACACATAAATGTTTCAGATCATATCACGGTTAACATCAGACATGAGTAAACAAAAAAGATTATTTCCTTTATTAGAAGAAGTATTACATCCAAACCAACCAGATCCGATGTGAAAAAGTTAAAAAAGTAATGGCAATGCCACAAACAGGTGCAATGACTCCTTTCAGATGATTGCATAACAGGAATTACGTATTTTACATTGCTTTGCAAAACTTTTGATGAACTCTTTTCAGAACTGATTCAATTCAGCCACATCTGAGGGTTTTTTGAGCAGAAATGACCAGATTAAGCTCACACCAAAACATCCTAATCGGAATCAAGTCTGGACATTGTTTTGGAGTTGTGCTTTGGATCATCATCTTGCTGCATAACATAAGTGCTTTTTAACTTAAGGTAACAAATTTATGGTTGAACGTTGTCCTTCGGCAATTACAGGAACAGAGCAACATTCATGGCTACATCAATAACAGAACCCATTTCAGGACCTGGACAAGCAAAGCACCACCATGTTTGACCGTCGATGATCATCTCTTTCTGAAATATAAATATATGCTTTCTGGGAAATGTGAAAACACAATTCCAAAATGATAACAGAGTCCAACTCTGTTGATGTCATCCGGACCCTAAGAGGAGGCCTGGATGTATATGTCACTGTAACCCAATGCAGACATCAAAACTGGATAGACAAGACAGATTTTCAAATAAAAAAAAAACTAGTTAATCTTGCATTTCTTCATTATTTGTTGAACATGCAGTATTACTACAAGACCTTCAAAAACAGAAACACAAAGATATTTGTTCCTAAAGACAAGCTCAACAGCTTTATTAATGGCATAGAGTAGAAATAACTTGAGAGTTGTCGTTTGTACAGCTCTTCTAGGTTAAATTAATCATAACTAAATACCTTAATTATTTAACTGAATTCTTGATTACATTAATTACAAGATCCTCTTGGTTTGTTATATGATACTAACTGACATATAATTATCTTTGATTCATCCCAATCCATTTAAATCTGAAATATTTAATGAATTGGTAAATATTTCACCCTTCAGACTGATTTTTGATAGCTCTTGAGACAGAATCATTTACATCACATCACTATGGTTCAGTCATCAGGCCGTTCTCACCTGTTTGATGGTGAAGTCGTTGATGAGATGATGGTTGTGCTCATTCAGGTTGCAGTGCAGGGAGACGCAGTCGCTCTGGTAGAGCAGGTCCTGCAGGGTGTAGACGCGCTGCACGCCCAACGAGCGCTCCAGTCCGTCCTGCAGGTATGGGTCGTAGAAGATGACATTGAAGCCGAAGACCTTAGCCCGGACGGCCACTGCCTGACCCGAACGACCTGCGGGCACAAGCAATTTGCGTAAGTGCACACTCCAAAGGTGTGCTAACTAATCTCAGCAATTAATTTCCAACACTTTGAAAGTCTCATATGTCTGTTAGAGAATATTAGGCGACAGTGGCGGTCTTAAATCAAGACTGGTGGACGTAGCAGACAGGTGAGCGAATGACATGTAGCTTTTCTTTGCTGGAACAATAATTGTTAATTAAAAATAGTTTGATTATGTTTTACATATCTGCAGTAGATTTCTGTGCAAATTCTGCGAAACCCTCTTATCTTCAATGCAAGTTTTTCAAATCAGTTCATGACTATTTGTAACAATTTCCATCAGTGAAAGATGTTTTCCTTGTCTTGAAGAGATTAAAATCATTGAAGAGTTTGAGAAAGAGTCGTGACACAGAAATCATCTCACAGAGTGAGGTAACAGACAGTGTTTCAGAGTGGGACTCTGCTGCACATATTAAGCGTCTCCGTCTCTCGCAGCCATGTGTTGTGTAGGATGAGAGTCTCCTCTCGAGTTGGCTGGAGGAAGCGTTCTGCTCGGTGGCTGCAGAGTAAAGGAGAGCTGTCTGGCGTTGGCTGTGGAAAGGATCGATAATGTCCTTTATGCTCTCTGGGACTTGTCTCTCTGAGATGGAGCGTTATGTCCATTAAGAAAAGAGAGGATTCAGAACGGAGCAACAGAAAGTTGCAGCTAAATTAACAGCTAATTATTCAGTCATTTTCTAAATAGATTCAAAAGCGATGGTTGGCAAAGTGTTTCCAACATGATTAATCATTTTACTTTTAGACACACTCAGCTTCTGTTTCTGTCGTAGCTGCTTTATACCCGGGTATTTTCTGAGCACACTTGAGCTCCTCAGAGTAGAGGAATCAGGGTTCCTGCACATATTTAATGACCAATTTTCAAACTTTTCCAAACTCAGATGAACAGACTTTCCTTCTTCATTTTAAATGCACTACTGGATAATTCTGGATACTGCCCTTCACTTTAAATTCTACAAAAGTTACCAAAGCCTGAAAAAAAGTATGGATGGATGGATCAAAAGCCAGCAGAGAGCTTTGCCTTGGCTCTAGAAAATATCAGATGTATTCTATAAGTCATAGAAAAAAAATCTAATAGAAGAAATATCATCTATTTGAATATATTGTTACAGTTGATCACTTGAATAAAATTCAAGTGATTTATCTCATGTAAATACATATTTTTTTCAGTACATTGGCACTTAAGTACTTAAATTGGGGAATCAAACTAAAGATTTAATGAAACTTATATCAAAATCACACAAAGAAATGTATTTTTTTAATTGCTTTTTTGCTTCCTGTGCTAAAGTACACCATGAACTAATTTAAACTGCTGTTGTGTCTCGCTTAACCTACAAGTTGAGTGATTTATTTGTCACGTGAATTTCCAGGTGTATTGCAGTTTTCATATTCATCAAAAACAATTTGTGTCCTTTTGCAGTATTGAATTATGGCACTTTTGGCTTTCCTTAACCCTAAAGCTGGGCTATGGAAAGCAAATCGATGATACTTTAGGATACTGCTAGAATGAGATGTGTATATTTGTACTTCAAATGTCATAATATGTACCGTTCTTCAGCAAATGACGTTCGACAGCAGTATCTCAATTTCATCCACGGCCGCTCACCACCAGACAAAAGATGTCAGAGATGTGTCTGACTTGGTGCTAACAAGTTTGTTAACACCATTAGATCAGAGAACACAGAGGAGAAACTGGTTTAGGGAGTGAACTGAGGCGTGTTTGTCAGGTGACAGTCGCGGTGCCGTTTATATCAAAATGATGTAGCAACTGCCTGACCCAGAACGGGGACAGATTGTGCTTTCCTCTCTCCCTGCTGTAGCGCACAGAGTATTTTAGATTTTACTGGTCTGAACTAACCACAGCTTGTCAGAGAGCAAACCACCTTTATCATTACTTGTAACTTAAATATTCACACTACATTTTTATTCACCAGCAAGCCTCTTTTGGAGGAGAAAATGATATATTGACCATCATTTGATAGTTGAAGGACCCAGTTCCAGATGCCATGGGAACAAGACGATTGTCCCATTTGTCCCCTTCCTGTCAGAGATACCAATAGCTAGATAGATGTATAACAAATGAACAGATGGATGATATAGATGGATGGACAAACAGATGGATGAACAATCAAACAATCCATTTACTCCAGACTTTTCTAGACAGTGTGAGAACTCTAAGGAATGAACTTATTGCCATCCTCTGTTGTTTCTGATTGCAGTCTTAAAACTCAGCAGAAAGGGGGTGTCTGCATGTGATGTGAATCACAACAGGCTGTTCTGAAGCTTAAAAAAATTGTCCTGCAGCTGCAGGCTTCTTCAGCCATTTTCTACCAATATAAACATTTTATAGTTGAAACAGAATCAGATTTATTTACAGCTGATGCATTGAGAATAAAACGACATTTGCTTTTTGTGGCACCGCGGCTGTAATGGAAGCTATATAAGATACCTGAGTATCAAAGCTCATTTCTGTTCAGCTTCTTCATGCACTGATCAATACCAATAACTGTAAAAGAACCAGAGGTTCTGTCGCCCATGGGAGCGTTTCAGTGTCTGGCTCGTTCTTGACTTGACTTTTTGCTTTGTGTTGCCAACCTATTCAAAGAGACAGAGTGAAGATGAAGACCTCTGAATGTTACATAAAATAGTAGCTGGATATGACAGAAATTTAAAGCAGGGGTGAACTGGATGTATTTAATGCTTGTGATTAATGTTTTGCTTCCAGTATTAAGGAAAAAAAAAATCTAATAATCCTTTTATTTTGACATTCGGACATTTCTAAACATACATTGATATGTTACAGTTCAATGAATTCATTCGTTATTCAGATAAAGACAATTAAATGAATTACTTAAAAATCTAACAAAGCAGAAGTGACTCAAGTTTGACACCTGAAGAACCTTTGTATCTGCAGCTGGCAGCCCAAGCAAACTCCAGCATGCCTTTGCTTTTCCACTAACAATGGACACTGTTTGAGAACTGCTTGAGCCAGAAGGACTCCAGGATGAGGCTAGAAGTGGGAGGATTGGGTAAAAACAAGAGAATGAGGAAGGCGGTTTTCTACGCCAGAGCCCAGTGCTCAGGCACGGTTAGTCTGCACAGCTGTCTGGGACCTGCAGGTTGTGTGCGTTTGTGTGTGGACACAGAGATAAGGTGGCACTCTTCAAATGCTTATGAGAACGCTGAGCATTCGAGTGCCCGGCAATGTTGACAGGAGACAATGGATCAGAAAACAACAAAACAAAAAAAAGCACACACACAATCAATAGAGAAACAGTGGCCGAGAGTGAAACGTACACATTTACACACACTAAGGCAGAATGGAGTACGCCATGAGGGCTGATTATGGCCGCGCGAGATGTCAGGGGAGAGCAATAACAGAGACGAAGAGTCGAAAAACAGAAGAGAAGAAAATAATAAAGATATTATGGCGGAGCATTAGAGCGGTGGGCTGTGAGAGCGGATAGAGGGAGTCGGCCCGGAGGGAGGCCAAACAGACAACCTTGAGATAATCTGGGGGACGAGCAGAGCAGGAAAAAAAACAACCTTATCAGAGCAGAAAAACAGAAGGCCCTCTGACTGGCAAGGAGATCTGAAAACACACTACATGAAAGTAGTGTGCACTGGCTGGTGGTCGGCGCTGATCAGTGAATGCGTTGTACCCGATCGCTACCAGATTGCACGAACAATAATGATCATCGGTATGGAAGTTATTTATGAAGAATACTGAAAATGAGCTATTTTCTGTGAGCGTGAGGTGTTGAAGTCAGAGGAAAACAAAGAGATGTAAGTAGGGATATAAAAAGAACTACATCAAGTTTATAAAACAATACTGGGTTCATTAAAACAAGATGAGATGAGAGGAGATGAGATGAAAAACAGATTTGGAAAAATTACGACGCCACGTGTTTTCTTTCCATAAATGAGGCGACTGCTTTGTTGCGGCTTCATCTGTGATCGTTGCCACAATCTGCAGATTGTATAAAGGAAAGCCTAATAATTTAGAGAGCCTGTTGAAGCTGCAAAACCTCCTGCTAGACTTTGCATTTTTTGTGCTGCACGAGAAAGAACTTTTTGGTTTCTTCTCCTCAGCCTCCTTAGACATTATATTGATCACCTATGGAGTGTGCACTTGGAGTGCAGAGAAAATCAGCGTGGCATCTCCACATAGAAAGCCTTTTAAGGGAAAAGGAGGAGATTCATTACTGGTACAAAAATAAGTATTTGGATATTCACCAAATCCGATGAGGCCGAGGGTTTCGCCACGGATGCGAGCGGCACCAGAGGCCACCTCGCGGATCTGTTCCACGCTCTGGACCCTCGTGCCCTCCCGAAGAGCTTGATAGAGCCAGGTGTTCCGCCTGTAGAGGTTCAGGATGTGACAAATGGTGGAATCGGCCGTCTCCTCCACGGCTGCAGAGGGAATGTTGCACACAGCAATCCCTGAAAAATTAGAAAGAGGCCAAAAGAGTTTAAAATCAATTTGAATAGGTGATGCAAAAACAAAATTATCAGTGTTCACCCAAACTATGGTTATCAACGTAAAAAAATAAATAAATTGTTGCTTGGAAAATGTTCAGCTTGAATTGGGATAATAGGATACAAGAAGCAACAATGCAAATGTCTGTGTCAAAGTTTATTTGCTACCCACCAAACATGAATACTATGTTAAAGTAGCTTATATAAACCCAAAAATCTTTATTTATGTTGCACCTTTTTATATTAAAGTGAACTATCACAGCCAAATGCAAGCATTCTACTGCCAATAACAGGATGACCTGAAAACATTGAAGTTTTAGGGACTTTCTGTTGAGTTATATTCCAGCAGAGTGTTCTCAATTTAGCTGCCTTCAAGCAATTTAAACCTCTGACCTCGCGGTATTACCTCGTCTTTCCTTCACATCTTTTTTTTATACTCCTTTCAAAGCACTTCTGCCTGCCCTGGCTCTCCACTAATGCCCTCATCCCACTCTGTATCTCTGAGTAACAGCATGGTGGTCTGCGGACAGCAAAAAATACCCAGAGCCTGTTCAATGCTCAATCAATGGCCTCTTTTTTTCTCCTCTCGGAGAACAGCCGTCATATCTGCGCTGCCTTCTCGAGGCCTGATAGCTTTTTGACTCCTGTGTTGCAAAAGGCAGCGCGCTGTCGGTGAGTGGGTGGCAGTTAGACACAGTATCTCGTATTGGCAGGGAAATGGCAGCTTTGTCAGCTCTAAGAGCTGTTTGAGCCACTGAGCCTGCTGATAGGAGCCTGGGTGGTGGTTCAGAGGATGAACCAAACTCTTTTCTTCCTTTTACTTTCAGTGGCTTTCAAAAGTCTGGCTCGTAGTTCCATCTTTGTGGTTCATCTTACTATTTAAACACTATTCTAAAAATGCATACCAGGAAACTCAGAAAAGGTACTTGAAGCAAATCTTTTCAATGAAAAATTCCCTTCAGACATGGATCTTATTTTTGATCACCATCTTCAACACCCTGTTTGAATTTTTTTTTTTTTTTGAGCACATTCCAAATAATTTGATGAATCACTCGCAAGCAATCTGCATAAATCCAAATACTGGCGTTTGAAGTGGAGCATGTCATTGACAGGTAAAAGACCAAATGAGGAAGATGGCGGGGAAAACTCTCTGTAATGGAATCAATGGAAACCATTTGAGTTAAAACACTTTTCACAGCCACACCTCCAACCAAACACCTGCTGCTATATTGATTCAGGTTTTCTTTATAGTGAAGCAGTGTTACTAAAACCCCCTCATGCTTGGTCTTGTGACGGATCCAGCTTTTAAGTAAATTCCACGAATTTTCATTAGGGCAGATGTGTTAACCCACTATAAACATGCATTATCTTTTGCATAAGCAGTTTGGTGTGTTTGGGATCATCGTCCTGTTGGAATATGCATTTAAGTGTTACACTGAGGCAAAGTTCAAGACTTCAGAGGTACACTTTTTTCAACATGCCATTGTTTTTGTGTAAATAATCAGTGTTTCTGGCACTGAAATAACCCCACAGCATGATGGCACCACCACCATACTTGACAGTTGCTACTGTGTTTCTAGATTTGACTCATCTGAATATACTTCTCATCATTGATCAAATGGTTTGTCTCATTGTCGCACAGCGTTTTTTCCAGAAAAATATTTGACCTCTACATGCAGGTAGTCGCAAATTTCTAACAAGCATGAAGGTGTTGATTCTGGAGCAGGGCTTCGTTCACGATCAACACCAGTCCTATGACGTTTATAGCAAAATAAAGCCTCATCAATGATTGAGAATGCAGTAACATTTTTTCCAACTCTTAGCACTTGAGAGTGTCAAAGATTCCTGAGTTGTTCCTGAACTTTTAATTAAATTCCTCTCATATTACTTACTAGAACTGATAATTTAGGAATATGCAGCTCTTAAGATATGAGTCCAAAATTATTTTTTGTTGTTGTTTGGGTTCATTTTAATCATAAATACTTACCATTCTTCTAAGATCTTCATTGAGTTTTTTCATTAATCTGCATATTGTTCAATTAAATATTGTCAAACAAACGGTTTAAAACTATTTTGAAAACCTGAAGACAGAGCGGTACAGTAAGGCAAAAAAAAAGTATGAAAAGATGTCAAATGCCAGGGCCTTTTCCCAGTCTATAAAAAAAAATACTACAATAAACCACTAGATTAGGTCCCAAACTCAACAACATCTTTTCTATTTCAAACAAACAAACAAACAAATTAATAAAAAAAATTACTTCCTGCAAGACCTAAAGGAAGTGCCAAACTGTCAGCCAAATGGCATTTGGTGGTTAATTTAATAGCATTAACCTCAAGTAGGCTTTGTAAACTAGATGGTAAAAAATGCCATGCCAGGATGAATAATATATTCATAAACAGCTTGCCATAACCTCACTTTTAAAATGACAACTGAAGCAGCCACTTGTTTTCCACTATACACTAAGGTCATTTGTGTATTGTTTTGGGCCGAGCGCTTTAGATCAAAGTCTGTTCTAATTTTGCATTGTTGCACCAAAATAAAAGCATTAAAAACACATTATCAGTTCTGAATGTGAACACGATAGTTCATATGATTACAACAATTAATGTGTAAAATGTAAACATGAATAGAGGAATATTTAAAACCCCAAAATAACAATTCCTTACCTAGTTCTCCAGCTGCCTTTATGTCGATGTTGTCATATCCGCTGCCGATGCGGATGATGATGCGTAGGGCTTTGAACTTCTCCAGGTCCTCTCTGGTCAAGGTGATGGTGTGGTACATCATGGCTCCCACTGCCTCATTTAGCACCTGCAGATGCACCAAGACAAAAACGATGCAAAACTATTTCTTCTTTTGTCTTAAATTCTCATCACTTGCTGTGTGCTCACAAATCTGCTTCTCCTTTGAATGGACTTTGCAACTTTGCACAGATCACAATGTTCCTGCACTGGATATGTGTAGTTACAGCCACCAGAGTTGAGTAGCTGGTTGCCTTCCAACGAAACACCAGGAGGCCTCTGCTCTATTCAGCTTCCCACTGACAAGGGACGCTGCGTTGGGTCAACACCAGCCAAATTGATCAACAGCACCGACTGTAGAAAGCCGGATTGGGTAAGAAAGAAGGCTGTGTGCGGTAAGAGCCCATGAAGACCGGACAGAGAGGCGGAGGAGGCATTGTGCTGCTTCTTAGTGTGTGCTTGCATGTGTGGGTGCGTGCGCGTGTGTGTGTGCGTGTGAGCGTGGGCAGGGAGGCGTGCATGGACAAAAAGATAAGGTAGAACTCTGGAAGGGCTTGAGAGAGTAGAGCATCTGTCAGTCCGGGATGTTGAGAAAGGCCAGGAATAATATACAAACAGCAAAAAAAAAAAAAAAAAAAAAGAAGAAGAAAAGAAAAGAAAAAAAAAGGAAACATGTTGCAGAGAGAGTTTGCCTGGATCTGTACTGCTGCATGATCACCAGGACTCCATTCAGACCTAGAGAGTGTTTATCCGTCTCTATAGTGAGGTCAAAGCTGACTCTGACTGTACATTCACAACAACAGAGTCAAATGTGGCGCTAGGGAGATAATATTTTAAAAACTACATGCCCGTGCTGATCAAGATCAAATATCAATTTCAGAGTGTCACAGCGTTGCATCAACTCCTCTTGAACGAACGCTCTAGCCAGTCTTTCTGTGAATACATTTTATGCATTTCTGTTTAAGAGGAGAAGTTATATGTTTAAGAGATAAACGTGGTTTGCTGAAAAATGTATAAATTTAACCTAGAACAAAAGTAAGAAAAAAAAGATCTTGTGAAAATACTGTTGAAACTGTGAAAGAATGCCATTTTTTCATAGTGAAACAAGTTTTGGACCATTCGGCAATTCAAAGTGACAAAGACTTTCAATCTTGAATAAATGCCTGGTGTTGATTGAAATACTTAGGAACTGTACAGTATATAAACTATTGACTATTGTCAGACAGTGATTAAAATATGATCTCTCTTTTTATGCGGTGAATGAGAATATCTGCATATCAATTTCAGCTGTTCACAAAGCCATTCATGCACAAAAGCAAAAATACAAATAAACATAATTACACCTACTTTCGATATGTGCTGAGACCAGCTGACTCATCTGAAATGACTATTGACTAAACCAAAATAACTATAAGTGACCTACTGCTGGTGGATAATCATGACTGGAATCACATAAACACATTTCTTTATGCTGAGTGGATTGTACAGAAAATGACATTCAGTAAATGCTGATGAAAACAGATTCAAAGTATCCCTCAGCCGATTATCTCACCTTAATACAAAACGTCACACGAATAGACCAGAACTGCAAACGACAAAGATGGCTAAGTGAGGAACAGAACCCAGAAAAATATCGTTCTCCAAACGACATTTGAAATGATATTCAAGCTTTGGCAGCACATGGTTAAAATATGATCATTAAAAGGTGCTTAAGAGGACAAAAGGGAAGAAGCTATTTATTCTCCCCAGAGGACAATGGAAATAATTTCTGTTCTTTTAATGTTTGTTCAAAAAGTTGTTTTTTGTCGATATAGAGCTACACAATTCTGGTGACTGAATCAGCCTGGGAACGAACAGATGCACATTATTTAAACCAGAAAATAAATCCTGTCAAAATTCAAGAAGGAAATAGAGATGTGCTGTTAAGCTAAGTTAAATGAATGCAAACCCTTGCATATGTAGTTAAAGTAGTTATTTTTAAGTTCATGGGAGAAAGTTCTGGGCATCCCTCAGAAGATCCAAAGACTCAGCAGTGGATGAATCTGAATTGTGCCACCTACAGAGATCAGTAGCAGTGAAACACCCGAGGGCTCTCAAGGTGACCCGGCCTGCGAGTCGGTTTGATGAGGATCTAAACTACTCCCCATCAGAATCTGCCCGGGCCCCTGTCAGCACCTAAATAACAGCGCTACATTCACCTCCAGCCAAACTGAATTAGCTTTCCTGTGATTAGTAGATTAGCTCTGAATTTCCATACTGCTTTTATTAGCACTGTGTCCTGGACAGGGCTTCCAGATACTAGTTCAAGGTTAAAACACTCCTTACACACACACACACATGCACACCATCATCCCTCTGCACTGAAAGCTGAAGGATCCGTTTTTTTTCCTTCTGAGCTTGAGGAGAATTTTGTTGGAATTTGGTCATTTATTTTAATGAATATTTTGATCATTATTTTGTCCAGGGTTCCAACAAATTTTCCATATAAAAATGTCACACTTTTCCACACCCAATTTTCTTAATCTTTTATGGACATTTTACAATGCAACATAATTAAGTTCACCATGAATTTATAGCTGTTATTTCGGTGGTGGGCAGGCTTTAAATATGCTTCAAATAAATAAGCAAAGGAGGGAAAGATGGAAGGATGTGGGGAAGGGAGAATGGAAAAAGAACAGATGGAAGGAAGGAAAGAGGGAGGGAAAGAAGTAACGAAGAAAGAAAAATGGTAGGAAGGATCATTAAGACGACGGAACAGTGAATAACAATCTAAAGAAACTTTTCATACTATTCAAATCTGGGATCATTGAAATCTAATTCCGTACTTTTCAAAACAAAAGTCTGAGTGTTTCTTCAGTGCATGGGAAGTTCAGAAAAATAAATATTAATTAGACGCCTATCAAACAGAAAACCATTCGTGTGTGTTTGTGTGTCTCTGTGGTTAACAGTGGAAGGATTTCATGGTTATGAAGTCACCCTGCACACAGTCCAAAGTAGATGCAATGTGGTTGGAACATTGAGAACAAACTTTTTTCCACCTGACAGGAAAAGCTGTTTTGTTAAAACAGTTGCTGCTTAAAACTACGAAGCATTGATTACTTATTAATAAAAGCACAACAGACAAATGACAGAATAAGCCCATGTTTAGGATGCTATAAAAACCTCTGTTTGACCTCACTTTTAAAATCCATGTCAGCGATCGTGAGAGAAGGGGAGAGTAAAATCGTATCTTATGTTAATAGTGTACTGGAAACCTAAAATAAGGGCAAATTCAGGACAGATGCACAAAAAGAACAGCTGAAAATTTGTATTTGTAAATGTTCTCATTTGCTGGAGAAAGTTACAAACACTGATATGGAAGAATGCTACTAATTTCAAGCTTTTAAGGTTTTGTGTAAAGCGTGCCTTCTCCACGATGGAATAATTAATTTGCTCTGTATTGTTCTAATCAAAACTTAATAAGTTTAAACATATGCATACACTCCCACTAATAATTTTAAAATGGTTCGTTAGGCAACCACCCACTGTTTGAATCCATCAACCAGCTTCTGGCATAATTTTGGATGAATATTTTTCAACTCTTCTGTGATGAGTGGAATACGTCCATTCAGAAAAACGTCCATTATGTCTCTAGAAGCTACCTTATCCAACTGCAGAAACTGTTGTTATGCTTTTGGGGTGATTGTCCTGTTGTAAGTCCCCATCTGTGATTTTCAACCATCTAGGTAGAAATGAGAGAATTTGGAAGTCGTCCACATCCACTTTGTGCAACGTCCCTATTCCACTGACATCAAAACAGTCCCGTAGGATGACACTGCCACCACTTTGCTTGATAATTGTTTGTGCTGTTAGGTTTAAAAGCCTCAACTCAAGAAAGACTAAAGAAACACCTACGTTGACTTGCTCGTCCAATCGTTTTGCACTTTATTTTGTTTGTTCAGTCAGGTTTGGCCCTTGAGAAACGCTTTCCTTTGGAAACACCGACTTCGCCTGCAGACGTACCTGCTTGGCTCCATCAGTTTTCAGCTCATGGCAGGCCTGAATCTCTCTTACTTCTTTCTGAACACCTTAGCCTAATTGCTGTATTAAAAAGGCTCACAAAGACTTTGTCCTGAGACAAGAGTTCTGTCAACATTTTATCATGCTGATGAATCAAGTGATCACTATCGGAGAAAAACTTTCAATGCTGGCAAAGAGAAACAACCAGCTACAGACCTTGATTACAGACAATATTATATTATATTATATTATATTATATTATATTATATTATATTATATTATATTATATTATATTATATTATATTATTTACTGGGCTTCAATACATCGCTAAGCTTAACACTTTCAGTGGTTGAGTCAAGCTGAACTGTGTGATAAGCCATTTTTGACAGTATGCCATGTGGGCTGCGATCCAAGCTTTACAAGCGGTATATGAGGCTGTAACGCCTGAAACAAAGACAAAGGATCATTGACCTTGGCGGATGAGCACAGGTGCTGGATTTCACTCAAGTGGGTTTGTAACATTTTTCTTGCTCTGTCATTGCTCGAGTGTCATCATTCACGTCTCGCCTAAAAAAGTTATGTCTCTGGCAGGAGATCTGTTGGTCTTTTAGTTTTACACAACTTGCAACTCCAATGTAGGCGCACAGACGCGCTCGCCTGCTTTATGCAGAAATTCCACAGTTATCGACACTACATCTCTGCATACATGCAGTGCAGGAAAGATATTGGACATTTTCAATCTATCACGCCCCTCTGGGTATCCAGACTGCAGGTTATTACTGCGAACTGCTGAATATGCTGCTGAGGTGAACATTACAATCATGTTTTTCCTGATAAGGTAGTGTTAAAAACAAACAAAAAGGTATCCCGCACTCCCCTCGCCTCTTCTCTGCCCGAGGTCTGTGATTGAATTGATCTTTATGCAAATGCTTCTTTTTTAATATGTCCTATTTTCATAAAGACAGCGCGACGAAAAGATGCAGCGGCTCACTCTCCATCTCTAGATGGAGAGATCGCTCCTGGGTGATACCCATCTCTGCAGACGTATATTGTTTTTCAGCCGGAGCGCTGCATAAAAGACAATAAAGAACCTCGACAAGCCAATGTAATTACACTGCATCCCCGCCGTACAAGACGCTCTATTAGAACAATGGCACTGATATAGGCATCGCACCCAATGCCCCGAAGTGACATTAAATCATAATGAAGCCACTATTTTTTAACTGCCGAGTGTACATGAGGCCAATATAACACGATTCACACATCAGCTCGGTGATAGAGGTGGACATGAGCGATCTCTCTATCAGCTTTTGGTTGCTATGATGCATAACGTTGTGTGTCCTACCTTCTCGTGGATCTCCTGTGTTGACTGGGCATCGCAGAAGGCGACGGTTGCTAAGTCTTTCAGGATGGGCATCTCCACGGTGCAGTCGCGCCCATCCAGCAGTGCCACCAGCGGGCGCGGATGCATAGGCCCGTTCATGATTTGGGGCCGAATACCTGAGCGGGACGCATGAGAAGAGAGGAAAAAATTAGTGTGCGGGGCTGCAGAGAATCATTTGTTGTATTTAAAGTCTCAACTAATGTTTTTTTCTTTGCTTTCAAGACGTCATTAATAATAAATAATGATAAATAATAAATAGTTCTTTAGGGATTTGAAGATTTTCCAAAATACATTTCTCACTCTTTTTTTTTGTTCCTTATACCAATGTTACACTTTTTGTTTCTATTTCTTTTTCCAAGGTTTTTGTGGGCTCTAGAGGCCCTTATTCAAAAGTAGGCTGACAGGAAAGAGGGCAAGACGTGCGGCAAATGTCGCTGGGTCCAGGAATTGAACCCGCGACAGCAGAGTCAAGGACTAAGGCCTCCAACCGTGGGTCGCGCTAAACCCCTACGCCACCACAGCACGTCCCCAATGTTACACTTCTGAGACTCTGGCTTTTTGTTAGTCTGGCATCGCCTCATTTGATACTTTGACACTAGCATTCAGTTTGATCAGATTTTTCAGACATGTAGAAAAATGAATCGCTGGAGGAATGCTGGAAGGTGCCAGGTCTGCTGCACATGTACGCTGCTGTTGCAGCATCACTGCAACTGAGGCTCGAATGTGGGTGGAACCTTTCTGGAGTGCATGGTACCATGAACCCTTCTTTTCATTTTCATTTCACCGAGTTTTCCCAGAGAACTGAAACGGGGTAATCATTGAGTCATTCAGCAGGACACTGATCCAAAACAGCAGAGCCTTTAGAAAACGTGTGAGGCAGAGCTGAAGAGAATAAGAGAGAGTCCAGAAGAAGAACAACCTAAAAAAGTCTGGCCTGTTGCCAAAAAGGGGTTGGGATCTTTTCCTTCCCTTGACTAAGTAAAATACTCAAATTAAAACTTGGAATATTCCCATTTTTTTGGGAGAAATTATAACACAGGAAAAAAAGGTTAATTTAAAAAGCTTAGACTTCTTACATATATTCACTTGGAGAGTGAATATATGTTTGCAATTCTGCCTGGCAAAATGCACTGGCCCATGAATCACATTGACAATGCTACTAATAGCTGATCACACAGAGACAATGCTTATCTGTTTCTCTTACTGAATCTCTGAGTGAACATTTAAAGGATCAATTTGACGGCAGAAAAGTCGTCTACAACAAGAAGAGCAAAGTTTAGAGGAAGAAGAAGAAAAGGAAGTTTAGCTCACATGTACTACATATTGAGGCAATACTTTCATCAGACAACAGGAATGTTAAAAACAGTACAGCAAAGCTATTTATTGTTTTTAGATTTCGACCTGTCGCCAGTGGAACATGCTGAGCTTGCACTAAAATCTTTATAATGCAGGCTGTTTTTCTAATGCTAGCCTTTCTAACTACGCGTGTCGTAGTAATTGCTAATACAGGCTGCGAAAGCCAGTTTAAAGTGAAAACAGCGCAACTATTTTGTCTATAGTAAAACTCTATTTACAGTGACTGCTGTCTCTTGTGTGCCCTTATCACCTCTGGTCCTAATGCAAGCTATCAATGACTGCTCAGTGCAGGAAGGCCAGAGGAAAAATGGTATTCTGATATCTTCTTATTTAGCACCTTTCAAAGGAAAAAAAAAAGAAATTGGGTTTGGTGAAAATAGGTATCACATTTTGGATGGGAGGTGAAACAAGCTTCAAGAATTAAGACAAGTGGCTCAGCAGCCCTCTAAACTCGTTTACAAGACTTCTTAAGTTGTGGGTGAAAGTATCAAAGTTTACTTCAAGTGGAAATGGAAAATTGGCAACAAACACTATAATTTCTAACATCAAAAAACTATCAAATCAAACAGACATCAAATTAGAACTTAGCTGGTTTCATTGCATAATGCTTTTTCTGCAACATGAAAGACTGTGCATGAGTACAGGAGGTGATTAGAATGTAGCGGGAAGCCCGGCTGCTCCGTACTAACAAGGCCTGCTCAATAAATCAATGCACCTACTCTGGACTGGATTAGATTTACAGGAACACTCTCAGAATCACAGCTCTGAAACACCTGCATTACACTCTCAAACTGTACACCTAAACATGAGCGTAAGCAGCTAAAAGTAGATTCACACAGCAAAAAAGAAAATATATTCCCCACAGTGGCGCTTTGACAGCTCCAAGCTGAACGGACAAGCATTTTCTCGCTTTTCAAGGGAAGGATCATAGATTGGCCTCAATGGGGGATAAAACCTGCAATCGGCATCTTCACAGAAGAGTTTCTTTCACGGCGTGTCTCAAAAGAGTAATGTATCACTGAAATGGAGAACGCTCGAGAAAACGTTACAAGCCTGGAACAAACCCCATAGCCGATTCACATCTGCACAGCGGCGCGGTTGACAAAGCATGTGTCGCATTTATGGTTCTGTCGCCGAACGGGTCGCTTCACCATTTTCTCGCTTAGACTGAAGAGAGTGGAGAGGAGCCGAGTTCCCCGGTGGCTCGACCTTCTCACACATCCCTGCAGAGGATGGCGTGTCGCGCCGAGAAGACAGACAATTATCGGCCCTGCTTCATGCAATGTTAACAAGCGAGGAGAATAAATATTCATGTTGCTTCACATACAGATGGACCAGAGATGGAAAGACTGTGTTCCTTACGGATTAACAGCTTTTTACACTATAGAGGTCATGTTAATCACTCATGGTTAGCAGCGATCTAAGATGACGTAATACACTTAAATTAATCAAATAAAGACTTAAAAGTGTCTTTCATGGTATCTCTGCTCATTATTTGTTTTGTTTGTTTCCCTCTTGGGTCCAGCCACTTTGTTTTTTTAATTTTAGAATAAATTTGACTATGCTGGTGCAAATTGCATAAACATGCCCAAGCTGTGTATTTTGGCTGAATTGGAAGTGTTTATTAGTAAGTCTTTCAAACTAAATCAAGAAAACAGGTGCTTCTCCAAAACAGCTAAAAAAATAAAATAAAAAATACAAAGGCTGCCAAGAGGTTATCAGAAACTTTGAATTCTAGCAGAAACTTGAAACAGAAGCATTTCTTTTTTTTTTTTTTTTTTGCAAAGAAAACATTTAGACCTGCATAAAACCTTCATAAAGACAAGCAGAAGAATGAGTTACAGACTGCAAAAGCTGGACTTAAACTGATGCTTCGTCCAAATATCTGTCAGTTTTAATCTACAAGCCTTTCGGGTATCTGTTGGAAGAATGAAAATAAAAATAAGTTTCCTCTCAATATTGCAATAAGTTTAAGCATATATTCAAATAAATAAGTGCAGTGGTCATTTGAAAAACATTAATATTTTGAAATGACCTTACCGAGTCCAGATCTAGAGATAACAAAATATCTATTTAAGAGCTGTAGAGCTAGATAAGATAAGATGTCCTCACAGTTTGACACATTCAGGCAGAATGGGCAAATACAGGATGTGGGATGAAGGCAGACTCCTCCTAAACAAGAATAACTTGAAGTAAAAGGAGCTTTTATGAAAGTATGAGTTTAAGGGTGCGCACACATTTGCATGTAGATTATTGCATCTTTATTTTTTTTCTAAACATATATTTTTCCAGATGAAATGTACAGTACAGAATATGGATTAAAATGTGGAAAAAAGTACACAGATTTTTTTTTATCATCTAGTTTTGATGCCAAGTCTGGCATTTTGTTCAGCATGTGCGCACATTTGAGCACAATGTCATGGGAGAGCAAGAAAAAGGCTTTCATCACTGAAACTGGAATTTAACGGGTTCAGTTCAAAATGTAATAATAAATGTTACATGGATCTTTAGTTAATAATGCCACTCATTAAAATTTGTTTTTAGTAATATATGTATTAACTGTACAACTTAAGACACAGGTGAATCACATAAAAGACTTAATGCCAGTAAGACTCATTGGGTCAGCGTGCGTTGGGATTACGTCAGCGCAGGCTGATTAGGGTAGATAAAAGTGAGATTAGGAGGTTTAAGATTAATAGGGTTGTGTCGCTGTTGCAAGCCTGAAAATAAACAGATGTAAGTAGTAAGGGAAAAGTAGTATGCTTAAAACAGACCAAGCACTGCATGTTAGCCTTAAAAGCTCCCAGGGGTCATATTAGAGGAGAGAGAGATGAAAGGGAAAAACCGAGGACGTAAACGACAGGAGCGGCGCACAGAAAAGCGAGCAGTCCAGCAGTGCAGCCTTTTAGGCCGGGCCGAGTGGATATCATAGCGCGAGTGTTTGCCTCCCGTTGCCCGTCTGTTGTCAAGGTGATCGCTTGACAGGCTTTTGCCGTCCGCTTTAGCACGCTATATTTTTAACACCACTTGCGTGCGAGACGAGAGTGGAGGTCGGAGGCAGAAACCTCCGATATCTGCGACGTGTTTGTGGTGCCGAGATGCTGCGTGGCCTGATAAACAGACAGCCTGACCCCTGCAAGCAAAGCCTGCTCCCGTGTAACCCCTCCACCGCCCCCCACTGCAGACAGGTGATGACATACTGACTGCCTGTTACCTCTGATTTGTGACAGCTCATTTAACAATAGAGGTAGATGGCGGAAAGCGGACCGCAAATACAGAGTCCATTACATCTGTAATTACTAACCTGGATCAGACAAATTAACTAACTTTAAATCTAAAAACATTCACCCATTAACCAGGTCAAGCACAATATTTATTTTATATGACAACCAGCATGGGGAAAAATGATAAGAAAAAAATATTTAGTGATTATAGTAAAATAACATTGATTACCCTTTAACAGATTTCCTTTGCAGTAGAGTATCTCATTTGTTGCAATGAGATAGGGATAATAAAATATATTTGTATTATATTCCTTATTTTTATACAACTGGATGGGCGGCAAATTATTGACATGTTCCATGCTTTCTCAAACACTTGCTAATTTTTTCTCAGATTGTGTGACTTGACATGTGCAATGAATTGCCACTATGTAAATACAATTAATTTAAGCCACCAAACATTGTTTTGGCAGCTGAAACTCTTTGCAGCACTTTCCAACAGCACTCTCTGATTTTGTCTGGGGGGGATTTTCCCCAGT